TCTGTGCCCTGGGAAGGGCTGGGAAAAGGCCTGGCTGCTTCCAGACTGAGGGTGCATCCCGAAATCCAGCGGGGAAGGAAGGAGAGGTGGAAGAAGAACCAGGAATGCTCCCACCTGCAGCTGTTTCCTGGGGAGCAGAGGGGCTGTGAGCTGATTCCAGATGGGAAAAGGGTTTTTCCCCTGGTGAAGATGTTTGGGGTGTGTTCCTGGAGGATTTGGCCCATAGAGGATAAGAAAGTGGAGTCAGATAGGATCTGGGGATATTTCAGAGGGACTTGCAGCACAGTCAGCCAGAGACTGGTGGTACCTGAGCCCAGGGAGGGAAGGTGACAGATCCATCACTGGTCCAGGTGGGATCAGATGGAGAGGGATGAGTTCCTCACCTTGGGAGCTGTTTCATCTTCCCAGAGTGATTCCAGGTGTGTGGGGGCTCCGGAGGAGGGGAGCAGTGAGTCTGGGAGCAATGGAGCAGCCAGGCTGGATCCCAGGAGTCATTCCCACCTGGATGGGAGCTCTTGGTGGATGAGAAAGACCCTTTTGGATCACAGAATCATGGAATGCTTCAGGTGGGAAGAGACCTTAAAGCCCATCCAGTGGGCAGGGACAGGTGCCACCATCCCAGGCTGCTCCAAGCCCATCCAACGTGGATGGGGCAGCAGATCCCCCGTGGGCTCCCCTCCGTGCCTCGCTCCCTGGGAGCCGTTCCCCTTCCTCTGCAGGCCGGGAATTGTTGGGGATTTCGGGGACGCTGCAGCGGCCTCACCTGCCCGGCAGAGGGAGCCCGGAGCTCGTTCCTGGCCGCTCCAGGTGCGCGGATCCCGGGATGCGCTCCGGGAGCCGCTTCCCCCCTGCAGCCGGGACCGATTCCCGCTGCTCTTCCCGAAATGCCCGCAGCCCCCGCTTCCAGCACCCCAGGAGTTGCCCCTGGGATGTCTCACGTCCAAGACCTCCAGGACATCTGACGTGTCCAGGCCTGGAGAGGCTCCAGGCAGGGATGGGATCATCCTTGGGAGCGGCTGGAGCTGATACGGCGTTGCCTGGAGGAGGCTGTGCCGTGGATTCCTGAGTGGCCTGGCAGATAAGAGGGATAAATATCCCTTGATCCCACAGATCTCCTCAGTAGCTCCCAAATCCCCGTGGGGAACGTGCTCCGGCATGCCAGGGGTGACTGATTGAAGGGGATCACTGGAACTGGCCATAAAACACCATTATTGGGCCATAAATGGGGGGATGCTGTTAATTATCCCATGTATTACAATTAATTACAGTTAATTACAATCCTTAACCCTGTTTTTCCCAGCGATCCTCAAGCCCTGATCCATTTTTTACATGGATCAGAGAAGGTGAGGAATACATCCACCCCCCCAAGCACCCTCTAAAACATCACAACCATCCCTTTTTCCATGAAACCTGAGCTTTTCCATCTCCCTCCCCTCCCCCCCACCCAAATTCAGGATCCTTTCAGTACTTAGGAATTTTTAGGAAGCAGCCAGGTGGGATTTTGTCACATTTTGAGGCAAAACCAGGGATGTGACAATCCTGGCGCTTTCTGGGGCTGCCCTTCACCACTGCATCCTTCTCTGTTTCCCCCTTTTTTCACATTCTATCCCTAATAAAATCCAGTGTACGTTATTCTGGATTGACAGCGCTGATCTGAACAACACGGGGAGGGCAGCCAGGACCTTTTTTTGAAGGGCTGGGATGGGGATTTTCTGGGGGCTCCTGAGCTGATGATGCTGCCTGGAACGTGCAGCAATTCCCTGGGGAATTTGCAGCTGGAATTGGGGCTGGTTGTGACTCTGGGATGAGAACAGCAGCGGGAATTTGCCTGGAGGAAGAGGCTGGGTCCTAATGAGGGAGGGATGGTGGAGGGGGCAGGATGGGCTCCCAGAGCCGTGCATCATCCCAGGCAGAGCTCAGCTGCAGTTAATGGAGAGCAGGAATTCTGCTGGATGGAGCCATTGCCTGGTGTCCTCGGGAGCTGAGGCTGGGAGCAGTGGGACAGGGAAATGCTGGGTTGGGTCTGTCCCAGAACAGGGACCTGGAATGCAGCCAAAATCCCAGATCTCAAACCAACCCTTTAATCCCCTGCTGTGGCCTCAGGGATCTCTCCCCGTCCCATACGTGGTGAAGGCTCAGAAACAGCAAAAAGATCCCCAAAATCCAGTGTCAGCAGCGGGAAGGTCCCAGCTGAGCCCCAGCCTCCAGCTCCCCCAGTCTGGGTGTCCCAGGCTCCTGTTCCGGCCTCATCCCGGACACCACCAGCCCTGCTCCTGCTCCTGCCCCGGGAATGGGGCTGCTCTGAGCACAAACCCTGCTTTTTCCTCTGCCTGGGAAGGGCTTTTTCCAAGGGCTCTGCAGGTTCCTGGCCCCAGAGGCAGCCCTGCACTAAACCTGCCTGACTGGGAGCAACTGCAAACTGCTCAGAGCCGCCCCTTCTCCATCCTGCCAGGCTGGGAAACTGGATTTAACTCTTTCCTCTGGTCTGGAATGTGCTTCCCATCCTCTGTCTCCCATCTCCTGCCCAGGACCTGGAGAGCTGCTCCCAAATTTGGGTCCTCTGGCACCTTGGGGGCCCTGGGCTGCTTTGGATCTCCCAGAGAAGTCCCCCAGGGGAACAGGAAGCATCTGTGGTCCAAAAGGGCACCTCTGGAATGAAGGGCCACAGGAAAATGTGGGTGCCCAGGATGGACCTGGCCCAGGTGTGCAGAGTTCCCCTTTGGAGAGGGCCAGGAGGAGTTTGGGAAGGGCAAGCTGACCCTGGAAGGGCAGAGTGTCTCCCAGGTGAACAGCAAACAGCAAAGCTGCTCCCAAATTTGGGTCCTCCAGCACCCCAGGGAACCTGCTGTGGTTTGGATCTCCCAAGGAAGTCCCTGTGGGGATAAAGGAGCACCAAAAGGACACCTCTGGAATGAGGGGCAGGGAAAGGGGTGCCCAGGTGTGCAGGAATTCCTCTTTGGAGAGGGGCAGGAGGAGTTTGGGAAGGGGAAGCTGAGCAGTGCTGAGTGTGTTCCCTTCATTCCCAAAACTGGTCCCCAAGCCCTTGGATCCCACCCCGGGAAGGTGCCCAGGCCAGTCCCTGGGAAGCAAATCCAGCCTCACCTGGCTGCCAGAACTCAGCCAGAGTGCCCAGGTGAGTCCTGCTGGGAAGGAGCTGCTGCTCCAGGTGCCTGTGGTGGGAAGCTGAGAGAAAACCAAGGACAGGATGGGTTCAGAGTGACAGAACTTTATTGTAACAGCCAAACCCCGCGAGCCAGAGCTTCCTATCCTACAGGAATGTGGGAATGGGGACCCAGAACCTGGGAATTCGGGGGGCTGAGTGGCAGTGGCTGGAGCCAGGAAGGAAAATACTGCAGGATTCTGGGTGAGGTTGGGAAGAGGCCACAGCATCCCCCACCTGTGGCCATGTGGCACTTCCAGGGCTGGCTCCGGGAGCTCTGGAGCATCGGGATTGGGATTGGCCAATGGGGGCAGCCAGATCAGCTGGGGTCAATAAATACAAAGGCAAGGGAGTTTTCCAGCTTTAGGCTGAAAAAGGGAAGATTTGGATTCGATTTTAGGAAGGAAATTCTTCTTTATGAGGGTAGTGAGGCCCTGGGATGGATTTCCCAGAGCAGCTGTGACTGCTCCTGGATCCCTGGAAGTGCCCAAGGCCAGGCTGGATGGAGCTTGGAGCAAGCTGGTACAGTGGAAAGTGTCTCTGCCCATGGCAGGGGTGGGAATGGGATGGGCTTTGAGGTCCCTCCCAACCCAAACTGGGCTCTTCCCAGTGCAGTTAAATAGGAACCAATTCCCAGATTTTAGAAACTGGAACTGCTGTGTGGAGCTTGGAGAGAGGGAGGGATTATGGGAATCAAGAGTTTTGAGGCATTTTAGCTTTGGTGAAGGAACAAGGGGCCCCTCAAAGGCAGGGAAATGCCCTGAGGTGGCCAAGGGCCCCCAGGTTGTCACCAGGTCTGTCAATCCTGGTGACAAATCCATCCCTGGCATGGTTTTCCTCCCTCTCCCCCAGTGTGGAAACCTGGATGGTGCTTTCCGTGGAAGCCCTGTCAGGAATCACCCTCAGAGCAGGGAAAGGGTTTGGCAACACCAGTAAAGGGATTGATGGCAGCTGCTAAAACGCCAAGGGCTGACTGCAAATCCCCTGGGAAGGGAGTCATAGAGAGGAAGGTGCAGGGAATGGAAGAGTCCCTAAATTCCTGGGGTGGTTCCTGCTGCAACTGGGAATGGAGCTGTGAACTGGGATGGTGGAAAGACAAAGGACAGCCTGGACAGGACCCTCATCCTTCATCCCTTGGATGTGGGCTGGAGTTCAGGAGGAAGAGCTTCCCAGATGCTTTGGGTCCGTGCTCATCCCATTCTCCTACGAGCATTCCCCCGGAACCCTGGAGCTGAACTTGGGCTGGGTCCTGGTGTCTGCAGTCCCCGGCACGTCCTGGGCTCTCCCAGGGCTCCCGCCTCCGCTCGGCTCCGCGTGCCCTGAGCCCCGGGCAAACAGCCGTGAGTTCCGCAGGGTGCTGGCAGAAACTGGGAGAAGGGGAAAGGTTAAAACCCTTCCGTCCTTCCCCACTTCCTGGATCGGAGGGATCAAAGCACTTACGAGGCTTCGGCCGGGAGTGGACAGCGCTGATGACGGTGGGAATGGGCTGCTCCATGCTGGGGAGGGAAGGACACAGTGTGAGGACGGTGAGGACGTGGCTGAAGTTCTCCCAGAGGGGTGGAAAGGGCTGGAATTTGGCCTGGGGGAGTTGGGATAGTGGTAGGACCAGGATGGGCTTCAACAGCCCCTGGGCAAAGCACCTGGAGAAGGTCTGGAACCTCAGCCTGGGGAGTCTGAGGAAGACTTGGAGCAAGAAATGGGATTGAACTGCTGGGAATCACCAGGGTTTGCTCCTTCTTTGACCAAACCTTCAGTACCAGACTCAGAACTTGGGATTTGGGCAGGCTGGGCTTTGGGAGCTGTCCTTGCCCAAGGCAGGGGGTGGGACTGGGTTCCAAAGATTCCATGATTCTGTCCCCCCGGGTGTGCTGGTGCATCTCTTCCCCACCTGAGGCGGAGGAATCCTGGCTCACCTGTTCTCCTCCCCTTCCACGAGCTTCCTGTAGGTGAGGATCTCCACGTCCAGGGCCAGTTTGATGTTCATGAGCTCCTGGTACTCCCGGACCAGGTGAGCCATGTGCTCCCGGCTGCGCTGCAGGGCCTCCTCCAGCCCAGCCACCTTGGCCTTGGCGTCCCTGAGGGTCCCCTCCCCCTGCTCGCCAGCCTCGCGGATGTGCTCCTCCAGGTACAGGCACTGAAGTGTGGAAAAGGAGCTGAGGGGGCTCGGGAGAGGGAATTCCACATCTGTCCTGTTATCCCACCCAGCACACACCTGTCCCGTTATCCCACACAGGACACAGCTGTCCCATTATCCCACCCAGCACAGATATCCCACCCCAGCACACACCTGTCCCGTTATCCCTCCCAGGACACACCTGTCCTGTTATCCCACCCAGCACAGATATCCC